TACCAAGATAAGGAGTTAAAGAAAAATGTTCAGTCACGATCTTCTATATATATTAGAAATGAAAAAAAACGGTCGAACCCTTACACAATACTCCTAAAGGATCCCTTTGATAATGAAATGGAATTTATATGAATTTATAGGAAAGTATAGGAATCCTATGGGAATCTTATAAGAATCCTATAGGAAACCAATAGGAAGCAATAGGAGAAAACGTGCTTTTCTGCTATGAAGCTCGATTCCCTTCTCATCGAATTTGATGACAATCATGTCATCTTACATCTGTCGTCTTGCTGCCTACGCCATGCGCGGAATTTTCTAAAGGTTTTCTTTAAACATGTTTACCAGGGCATACGTCTTTCTCGTGATTATTTATCTCATGAACTAAATTTGTCACAAGATACGAGGCATGTCAATAGGTAAGGTAACAATATCTACTACAGCGGAGTTATTGCTTGGATCGAGGTACTACTTCGTGGAGTAGTACAGCTGCGGTGAGGATTCTATTGCTCGCGCGAATTCATCGCTGTGTTATTCTGCGCATGCGTGACAAGCCAGTTAAAATGGCAACCCTCCTAGAAACGTGGTCAATCGTTTAAGAGCGGAGCGTTATTCGTTTTCTTCAAGTAAGAGACACCACACCCGGAGAAGTTCATCGCCAACTTGCAGGGGATCACGGAGAAAATGCCAGACTTGAAATCAACTAAGGGTGCGTCGTAAAGCATCCAATTCTGTGCGAACGAGTGACATGAAGAAGGACTGGATCGACCAAGCACCTCGTCGACAGATGTCAATTTCATGCCGATTTAAGGAATGATTCAAAAGGACTGGCAAATGGAAATCCCGTCAGGTCAAGAAAGATCGCCATATTTCTTTCAGAACTGGTCCACATTGATCGTTGGGATATCGAGGAGCTTGTGCCTAGAAGATGCCAAACCGAGCTCGTCGACTTCCTGCAAAGGGAGGAAACTGGTAACTATGCCCGCTACAGTGAGACTCTGGACAGACTTGGAGAAGCCATTCGTCGAGGAGAAACGAACTCACAGAATTTGGAATTATTAGCGGGAGTGTTTGAGCACTGCCAGGGTCTGGCAGTTTGTTTGCCCTTTGGACGACCAAATTCGCTAGATCACATACGTCCCAGGTAGTTCAGATTATAAGATAAAGCTCTGACACTTGTGGAAGGAATTTGATGCTCCGACAGCGGCATCTACCCTCTCATCCATTCGATATGAACTCGACTATCAGGTAAGCGTTCCGAGTGCAGATCCTTTTCCTGGATAGAGTGTATTCCTAAGGGTTAGCACCGGCACGGCAATAAGAGACGTCGCCAAACACGATGTTCAAATGCTGCAGTTGTGATAATTTTTGGGATAACCACACCCAGCTCAGGTTCCTCCAAACGGTGAGTTCACGGAATCCTATTTCCGAGGTTCCGAACGTCGTTCCCGGTCTCTTTTAGGATTCATGGAAAATCACGTGGCATTCCCGGTTCGTGAACCCAGATCGGCGAGGCCATTTTGGATTTCTTGCCCCGGAAGGAACCGAGCACGTTGAGATCTCGCTTACTAGGGTGTGACGGAACCCAATTGCAGCGACGATATGAAAAGGCTTCACGGCATTCCGTCTTGGGGTTTGGGACGATCACTAAATTACAATAAGATAAGAGAGCGGAACCGAATCGGATTGACTCACGGTGCAATTCGTAAAAAAAAGAAAATCCTATTAAAGCTTAGGAAACAGTTACCATCTAATGCGCGGAAAGGGGATTCCGATTCATAGCGGAAACCATGTCTCCTTTCCTCTCATTTAAACATGCTTTTGCGAGAAACCTCGGAATCGATGCCCCCGAATAAAGCACGTGGGGAAGCCTTCCATTCATTGCCCGGCAAATTCAAATTCATCGTCGGAACAGGTTTTTCGTTACTGCATTCCTTAGTCACAATAGTACAATATTTGCATGGCTCAGACGTCGCTCGATCGACAGGTCGTCATCGACTTCTCATTCATTCGCAAGAACCCGGCCTGTTTTTCATTTTTTTTTTACCACGAAGTAGAACCTTTCCCGTCGTAACGAGACTGCGACGTTTCCTCCCTGAGTTCCTGCTCCAAGAAGCGGTTGAAATCTCCTCCAGAACTGCGGGTATGCCTCCATGTTGTTGTGCCCAGCGCCTTCCACCCAGAGGGCATCCACTTTCTGCTGGCATTTATCGTGTATGACTCTCCCGTGGGAATTTGGAATGATTTCGTCTTGGGTCCCGTGGACGACGGGAACGGGACAGGTGATCCTGGGTACTAAATCGGTGACGGCGAAGGGACCGACGGACCAGGGCGTGAATCGCAAGACCATCCCCAGCGCAGACGACAGAGGCGAATGGAGGATGACGCCTGGGAGGTTCTCGCGTTCGGAGGCGAGGCGAACGGTCGGGACGGACCCGAGGCTTCGACCGTACAACACGATCTTTTCTTCGGGGATCCCGTGT